ATACATCACATTAATAAAAGAAAGGATAAGAACCACATGATCCTCTCAATAGATGCGGAAAAAAGCTTTTGACAAAATATAACATCCTTTTTTTATTCCTTAAAAAATTTTTTTATTGATTGATTGATTGTTTAATTTACATCCAAGTTAGTTAGCATATAGTGCAATAATGATTTTAGGAGTAGATTCCAGTGATCCACCCTCTATGTGTAACACCCAGTGCCCATCCCAAGTGTCTTCCTTAATGTCCCTTACCCATTTAGCCCATTTAACCCCCTACCCAACACCCTGCCAGCAACCGTCAGTTTGTTCTCTGTATATAAGAGTCTCTTATGGTTTGTCTCCCTCTCTGTTGTTATATTATTTTTGTTTCCCTTCTCTTATGTTCATCTGTTTTGTTTCTTAAACTCCACATCTGAGTGAACTCATATGATATTTGTCTTTCTCTGACTAATTTCACTTAGCATAAAACCCTCTGGTTCCATCCATGTAGTTGCAAATGGCAAGATTTCATTCTTTTTGATTGCCAAGTAATACTCCATTGTATATACCACATCTTCTTTATCCACTCGTCAGTCAATGGACATTTGGGCACTTTCCATACTTCAGCTATTGTCGATAGTGTTGCTATAAACATTGGGGTGCATGTGCCCCTTCGAAACACACACCTGTATCCCTTGGATAAATACCTAGTAGTGCAATTGCTGGATCGTAGGGTAGTTCTAGTTTTAATTTTTTGAGGAATCTCCACACTGTTTTTGAGAGTGGCTGCACCATCAGCAGTGCAAAAGAGATCCTCTTTCTCCACATCCTCACCAACATTGTAGTTGCCTGCATTGTTAATTTTAGTCATTCTGACAGATGTGAGGTTTTAATTTGTATGTCCCTAATGATGAGTGATGTTGAGCATATTTTCATGTGTCTGTTAGCCATCTGGATGGCTTCTTTGGAAAAGTGTCTATTCACATCTTTTGCCCATTTCTTCATTGGACTGTTTGTTTTTGGGTGTTGAGTTTGATAAGTTCTTTATAGATTTTGGATACTAATGCTTTATCTGATATGTCATTTGCAAATATCTTCTCCCATTCCATTGGTTGCCTTTTAGTTTTGTTGATTGTTTCCTTCAAGGTGCAGAAGCTTTTTATCTTGATGAGGTCCCAATAGTTCATGTTTGCTTTTGTTTCTCTTGCCTCTGGAGACATGTTGTGTAAGAAGTTGCTGCGGCTGAGGTCAGAGGTTTTTGCCTGCTTTCTCCTCTAGGATTTTGATGGCTTCCTGTTTCAAGTTTAGGTCTTTCATCCATTTTGAGTTTATTTTTGTGTATGGTGTAAGAAAGTGGCCCAGGTTCATTCTTCTGCATGTCTCTATCCAGTTTTCCCAGTAACATTTACTGAAGGGACCGTCTATATTCCATTGACTGTTCTTTCCTGCTTTGTCAAAGATTAGCTGGCCATACGTTTGTGGGTCCATTTCTGGGTTCTCTATTATGTTCCATTGATCTATGTATCTGTTTTTGTTCCAGTACCATACTGTCTTGATGATTACAGCTTTGGAATACAGCTTGAAGTCCAGGATTGTGATGCCTCCATCTTTGGTTTTCTTTTTCAGGATTGCTTTGGCTATACAGGGTCTTTTCTGGTTCCATACAAATTTTAAGATTGTTTGTTCTAGCTCTGTGATGAATGCTGGTGTTATTTTGATAGGATTGCATTGAATATATATGTTGCTTTGGGTAGTATCAACACTTTAACAATATTTGTTCTTCCAATCCTTGAGCACGGAATATTTTTCCTTTTTGTGTGCGTGTCTTCTTCAAGTTCTTTCATAAAGTTTCTATAGTTCTCAGTGTATAGATTTTTCACCTCTTTGGTTAGGTTTATTCCTAGGTATTTTATGGCTTTGGTGCAATTGTAAATGGGATCGAATCCTTGATTTCTCTTTCTGTTGCTTCATTACTGGTGTATAGGAATGCAACTGATTTCTGTGCGTTGATTTTATGTCCTGTGACTTTGCTGAATTCATGGATCAGTTCTAGCAGTTTTTTGGTGGAATCTTCTGGGTTTTTCAGGTAGAGTATCATGTTGGCTGCAAAGAGTAAAAGTCTGACTTCCTCTTTGCCAATTTGGATGCCTTTTATTCCTTTGTGTTGTCTGATTGCTGAGGCCAGGACTTCCAACACTATGTTGAATAACAGTAGTGAGAGCGGACATCCCTGTCGTGTTCCGGATGTTAAGGGGAAAGCTCTCAATTTTTCCTCATTGAAGATGATATTAGCTGTGGGTCTTTCATATATGGTTTTAAGATCTTGAGGTATGGTCCTTCTATCCCTACTTTCTTGAGGGTTTTTATCAAAAAAAGAACAGACCTACCAGTAATATTGGCCATTTTTATGGCCTTTTTTTTTTTTTGAGAAAAGTTTATTCCAGTCTTTTGCCCATTTTTAAATCAGGGTTTTTGTTGTTGAATTTTAAGAGTTCTCTGTTGTATTGTGAATATTAATATACAATGCTCTTCTCTGTCTCTTAAAATCTTTTTTTTTTAATTTAAAGTCAATTATGTCAGATATTAGCATAGAATATCTTAATTTCCCCCTCACATTTGAAGGACAGTGTTGCTGAATATAGGATTTTTAGTTGAAAGTTTTTTCTTTCAGTGCTTTAAATATATTGGCCCCCTGCTTTCTGGCCTCTAAAGTGACTGATTAAAAAAAATTTTTTTTTTTAACGTTTTATTTATTTTTCAGACAGAGAGACAGAGCATGAACGGGGGAGGGGCAGAGAGAGAGGGAGACACAGAATCGGAAACAGGCTCCAGGCTCTGAGCCATCAGCCCAGAGCCCGACGCGGGGCTCGAACTCACGGACCACGAGATCGTGACCTGAGCTGAAGTCGGACGCTTAACCGACTGCGCCACCCAGGCGCCCCTAAAGTGTCTGATTAAAAACTGTGATAATCTTACTGAGGATTGGTTGTATGGTATCAATCACTTATCTCTTGTGGCCTTCAACATTCTTATTTTGTCTTTGGCTTTTGATAATTTGATTAGAATGTGTGTTGCTATGGGTGTCTTTGAGTTCATCCTTCTTGGAGATCATTTAACTTCTTGGATCTTTATAGTCATGCCTTTATTAAAATTTGGAAAGATTTTGGACATTATTTCTTCAAATAATCTCTCTGTTCCCTTATCTCACTCTTCTTGAACTCCTAGAATGTGTATATTCGTCCACTTGGTGGTGTCCTACAGCTCCCTTAGGCCTTGTTCACATCAGTCTTTTTCTCTTTCCATTCTTTCAACTCGATCATTTCAATTTGCATTACCTTTAAGTTTATTGATTCTTTCTTCTGCCAACTCAAATCCATCTCTGAATCCCTTTAGTAATTTTTTTTTTAATTTTAAACACTGTAATTTTCAGCTCCGGAATTTCTTTTTGGTTTATTTTAGGTTTTCCATCTTTTTTATTGATATTTCCTTTTTGTTCACACATCATTTTCTTGACTTCCTCTGCATTTGCTTTTAGTTCTTTGAGCATCTTTAAAACCGTTGCTTTTGTCTTTGTCCAGGAAGTTTGCCATCTGGTCGTACTCAAGGGTAGTTTCTGTAGGTTTATTCTTATTTTCCTTGGAATGGGGACACCCTTTCCTCTTTATTTGTATACCTTATGATTTTTTTGTTGACAAGTTGGTATTTGAATCTTAAAATGTGATAATTCTGGAAATGAAATTTTCCCCCTTCCCCAGGGTTTACTGCCTTTTGCTTGTTTGTCTGTCTTGATTGCTGTAGGTGTTTCTGTGCTAGGCATAAGCTTGAGGTATAAAATCTTTTGAAGCCTTGTCTTAGCCTTTATTTTACCCTGAGCATATGTGGCGACTTTCTACAATCTCCTATATATATGATTGCTTTTGTATATCCTAGTCCTTCAATGTATGATTCCCAAAAGAAAGGAAAAAAAAGCAAAATTAAAGAAGGGGGAGAGAAGAAGACTCTGGCTTTTTAAATCCTCTAGAAATTATTTCAGTTAGTGGGGGAAGGACTGACAACTTTATAGTGGTGGAGATGCAACAATGGCTACCTGTCCCTGTGTCTGCACCTCCAGGATAAGAAGCAGCTATCAGTGATCAGAATACAGTTTCCTGATATTTAGAGGACAGGGTTTCTATTGTCTAACCTGATCCCATAAACTACCTACACAGTATTGCATGAACACTTGCATGGCTGCCTACCATGGGGCTTGGGGTGGGGTAGAGCATGGGTAGCCACTACCCATGATAAGAGCTGAAATTGACTGAAACTAACTGAAATTTAGTGAAATTTAGTGAAATTACTGAAGTAGTTAGCTTAGACAGACTAAATGTTACTGTGAGTTTAAAATAGCAATAGCAATCATGCAATCCCTTTTCACTTTTCTATTTCAAATGCCATTTCCAACATCGCTTTCAGGAAGCAGCATCTATGCACCTGCCAAGCCTTCCCCCTGGGACTCACAACCCTTGGAATAGACTCCAAAATTTCAGTTAGATTCTGCCAGCACAAATACCATTTACGTGGAAGGATGGATTCCTGGTGCTTTGTACTCAGCCATCTTCCCAAAATTCTCTTAATTCCAAGTTGTTCTTATTTCAATTGAAATATATTTTTTTTAATGCTTCTTTTCTGCCAGGGTTAGTGAACAGAAGATGTATATCTTTGCCCAAAATATCTATGAGATATGACACAGATCATAAGATAAACACATAATGAATACTGATTATAGATGATGATAAATGCTGTGAAGAAAAAGATACATGACCTAGAATCTTATCCTAGAACAGTTTTCTACAACCAAATTCCCACAAGTGTGTACTCCCTCCAAAGTCTATTCTTGTTTTAATCCTTCCCTTCTATTATGTTATTTATAATTTAGTTTTGTGTATGTCACATAATAGCTTCAGGCAATATAACGCTGAATTTTATTAAGAGGTAAGGTTGATTTTTGTTTTCCTCTTCCAATGAACACATATTAGGTTTGGCCACACCCCAGTGCAAGAAAGACTCAGCTGCCTGGCCAAGCACAACTCTATCTACGTTGTGGCAAATATTGGGGACAAGAAGCCATGCAATGCCAGTGACCCTCAGTGTCCCCCTGATGGCCGTTACCAGTACAACACTGATGTGGTATTTGATTCTCAGGGAAAACTGGTGGCACGCTACCATAAGGTAAAATTAATTTGCACACAGTTCAGATACTGAATGTTTAACAAAATAAAGTGGGAAAAAAGGGGAAAAAACATTAATGTTTATAATAAGCATACTTTAGAAGCAGAGTAGAGACAAAGCATAGAAAACGATGATTAGGCGTGGTAAGCTCCTATAAAGAGGCTCAAGAGGTTTTCTATGCATTTAGGAACACAGGAATGTATCTTTGGAAGTATGTGACAATCAGCAGGAGGTACCTGCACTGAAATATAATGTTGCCTTTTAGACTTTGTCTTTTTAAGGACATGCCCTGGCAATGGGTCAACACTAGAACAAAAAAACTACCTACCAGATAGACTTGGTTTTGAAAAGAAAGGAGCAATTTTGTCTATAGAAAATATTTAGGTGTTCTTGGCAAATAGAAGTTATCTATTTTACTCTTAGGTCTTGTAAGATTCAATAGGGTCTTAATACATAAGGATTCCCTTCTACAGATCTCTAAAATGTAGAGATTGAACCAAAGGCTCCTATCAGCCATAGTAATCTCTGATTCTGTAACACTTTTTCCCTGTGAGGACGGTGGTTATGGATGAAATTGGCACTAAGAGATGCTGGCTTGCACTTTTTCAGACACATTGACACCCAGGCCAACTTCTGAAAAGAGACTTTTACCCACTTCATCTTCTCTTTATTACAGTACAACCTTTTCATGGGTGAGGATCAATTCAACGTACCAAAGAAGCCTGAGGTTGTGACTTTTGACACCATCTTTGGAAGATTTGGCATTTTCACATGCTTCGATATACTCTTCCATGATCCCGCTGTTACTCTGGTGAAAGATTTCCATGTGGATACCATAGTTTTCCCAACAGCGTGGATGAATGTCTTGCCACATTTATCAGCTATTGAATTCCACTCGGCTTGGGCAGTGGGCATGGGGGTTAACTTCCTTGCAGCCAACATACACCACCCCCACAAGAGGATGACAGGTAATGTATAATCTCTAAGATGTACAAACTTTATGCCATAACCAAAAAAGCAAAATAATGATTTTTTCTAGCTAATGTGTACTCCTTAATATAATGTTTTCCAACTCTTATTTTTTGCACCTCTGGCTGGTGACATACCGTAGAATCCATCTCAATCTAAATTGTTTTGTAGATTTATTTAGTTCTATTCAACTTACAGGCACACTTTTTTTCCCCCTCAAGATTGACCACTTCTGACCCGAAAGTTTCTCTTATTGGCTTCTCAGTAGCAAACCCTGTTGGATTTCCTCTCACCTGTTTCCCTGTCAGTATATTTTACTGAAATTACTGAAATAGTTAGCTTAGCCAGACTAAATGTTAATGTGAGTTTAAAATAGCAGTAGCAATCATGCAATCCTTTTTCACTTCTCTATTTCAAATGCATTTCCAACATCACTTTCAGGAAGCGGCATCTATGCACCTGACTCTCCAAGAGCATTTCATTATGACATGAAGACAAAGGAGGGAAAACTCCTCATCTCACGACTGAATTCTTCTTCATACGACCCTGGAGTGGTAAATTGGGCTTCTTATGCCAGTAGTATAAAAGCATTCTCCACAGGAAATCAGGAATTTAAAAGTACTGCGTTTTTTGATGAATTCACCTTCTTGGAGCTGACAAGAGTCACAGGAAATTACACAGTTTGTCACAAAGAACTCTGCTGCCATCTAAGCTACAAGATGTCTGAGAAGAAACCAGATGAAGTTTATGCCCTAGGGGCATTTGATGGACTACATATTGTCGAAGGGAGTTATTATCTACAGGTAATGCTTGTTTTGCTGGCAGGGGCATTAACCAGGCAAAATATAGGACACCCAGTTGAATTTGACTCTCAGATAAACAATGAATTGTTTCATTGTAAGTGTGTCCCACTTCAAGAAAAAAAAATGGGGCCCACTTTAGACGATATATGCACACTAAAAATTTTGTTATTTACCTGAAATTCAAACTTAGTTGGGCATCCTGAATTCTTATTTGCCAAAACTTGCAATCCTAGATGTCCAATTTTAAACTGGCTGGAAAAAGACAGAAGATTTATTTACAGTACCCGCATTTAAAATGACACAGTAATCAAATTACAGATGATTTTAAAGGATGATTAACCTCTGATAGTTCTTCCCTGAACAAACATACCCATTTTCTTGATATGTTCGCTAAAGCTTTTTATTTTTATTTTTAATTTTTTTCAATATTTATTTTCGAGAGCAGGAGAGACAGAGCGTGAGTGGGGAGGGGCAGAGAGAGTGAGAGAGAGAGAGAGAGAGACGCAAAGAATCCGAAGCAGGCCCCAGGCTCTAGGCTGTCAGCACAGAGCCCAACACGGGGCTCAAACTCACGAAGTGCGAGATCATGACCTGAGCTGAAGTCGGACGCTCAACTGACTGAGCCACCCAGCCCCCTCCCCCCCCCTTTTTTTTTTTTAACTTAAGAACTTGACACTAAGTATGTCCTGGAGACATCTAGGGTTGACCTCTGAGACATGCAGTAGAGTAGTTTACTGGTGCAGAGACTTGGTATCTCGCAGCCTTCAACATCAAAGGAAGAGCTATGGTGAGTTGCAACAAGCAACTTCCATGTTCCTCTCATTCCGCTCTCCTCTTCCTTGATCTGGCTCCTATCCTATGTCACTCAGACTGTGCAACATCTGAACAGGGCTTCCTGTTGACAGTTTCAGCTCCATCCCATCCACTTCCCATACTCTAATTATACCAATTACTAAAAGCCATTTCTGATTATTTCCCTGCCTTGCTTAAAAAGCCTCACTGTCTTCTCATTGGCAAATCAACTTCCTCACCAAAAAGCTACTCAGAAATGCTTGACATGTACCTCTTCCTACTCTCTGTTCTCTTCTCTCACCTCTACCCACATGTGCCCTGGGCTCCTCTCGTGTTGAGGCATTTCTTCATCCCCAATGTGCCGGCATCTGCAGAACCTCTGGATGTTTGCACAGGTTGTCTCCTTTATCTATGATGGCCCCACCTCCTCACCATTCATGGTGCTTTTTGGGTGTTATCTTCACCCCGAGGGCTGCCCTGACACTTCCTGTAGCACCAAGCCCACCTCCCCACCCGAGCTAGGTACCTCAGGCATCCTACGCTCAGCTTTATTAAGGACATATTATGTGAAATGATGCACATCCTTGTGCATAAGTGCTGGAACTGTACCCAATGTGCAAAATGTTGTTTGCTGTATGATAAGCACCGTCTTAATGCATCTTTACCTGGACACTTGTTGAGTGACTACTGCATAGTAGGTGTATATATTCAGTGCTAATGATATGAAGACGAATAAGCCAAAACCCTCCTCTTGAAGAATTTAGCAGGGGGGAAAGACATAGGACCAGGTAATGTCAGTACAAATCGGCATGTGATAGAACATAGAGTGCATGTTTTGTTGTAGGAAATACTAAGGAGCTATACCTAGCCTGATTTGGGGATTCAGGGAGGTTTCTGGAGACATGATGTATGAGCTTATGCTCATACTATTCTCCAGATGAAAAAGAGTGGGAGGAAATTCTAGGTGGAGTGGAGAGTGTGAGCAAGGGTGAGGACATGTCAAGAAGTAGGGTATACGGGTCAGTGTCACTAAGGCATAAGGTAAGAAGCAAGGATTGGTGGAAGATGGGCTTAGAGGCAGGATCACGTTTGGCAGGATCTTACCCGTCATTCCTAAGGTTTGGGCTTTATTTTCTGGGTGCCAGTCTTATGTGGGAAGGTGTTCAGCCAGGGAATGATGTGATCAGATCTGCTGTTGAGTTAGATCGCTGTGGCAGCACTGTGGAGGGGGGACCGAGGGCACAAAGACTGGTTAGATTTTAAAAATAGCCCTATTAAAACCTGTATCAAGATTATGTCAGTAGGAGTAAGAGCAGGGTGTGGACTCTGGCAATATGTAGAAGTCTAAACTTAGTAGCTAATTGGATACAGAAAAGGAAAGCAGAATGAAGGGGCTAGAATGCCAGGTTTCCGACAAGAGTAGCTGGGTGAATGTATGTTTCAGGATGTTAGAAGGGGAGCAGGCTGGCAGTGGAGAGATGCTCAGTTCAGCTATGGATATTCTGGTTTCAAAATATTTATGGGACATTCAGCTGGAGCCCTGGTACCTGACATCACCAGCAGAGTCTGGAGCAGCACCCCAGATAAAACGTGTTAATGTGTCTGCTGGAAAACGTGGGATTATGCACCCTAAATAACTTAAAAACAGGATAGCCTTATGTTAGTTCAAGTTAGGTTTCAATGTCCAATGTGCTACAAAAGCCTTTATTTTCAAAGAAGTTTGGTCTTGGAATTAAGAATGAGGGATTTGGGTATTGGATTATATTCATAATCCTTCATAGTCTAACTGTGACGATAACTAATGCCAGAAAAATCTCTATAACACCAAAATCTAGTTCTTAACTAAGAAGAGAAGACAAAAAAAAAAAAAAAAAAAAAAAAAGGAAATAAGGGTACAATAACTCTGCATCTTGCCACGGAGATTTTCCAAATGTTCTATAGTGAATTTTAAGGACTTAGGGAAAGAAGGTGCTTGTAGCATTTTCTAGAGTAGAGGATGGTAAAAGATTGGGTAAAAATTTATAGCAGTGGTTATAGAAGAGTGGGAGAAGCAGCCTATGTATTTTAAAGAATCATTGAGTAAATCAATTAATAAAGAAGGAATAAACTAAACAAAAGTTCATTCCCTTTACCCCATATAACCTGGGAGATCTTCCTCCTGAGATTATTTTCTGTACCCTTTGTCCTCTCCATTTCCTCCCACCAAGGTAAGAGTCATCCAAATCACCAGCCTCTCTCTTCTAGAATGTGAAACTATTTCCCAACAGGGTAAGAAATTAGGGATATGACATGGTGAGAACATAGATTCTGGAGTCAGAAATTCTGGGTAAATCGCTTCTTAACTGTATAGTGGCCACCTGGCCCTGGGCCAACCTCTTTAAATCCCTGGTTCCTCATCTGTAACATGTGGATTCATTTTCATTCACCAAATATTTATGTAATGCTTTCTGTGTGCAAGCACTTGGTACAGCCTGAGGATATTAAGATGAGCAAGACAGATACTGTCACTGTCTTCATAGAGCTTAATGCTGGTGGGGACACAGCCATTGAAGAGAAAACTAAGGAAATCACTAGTTGATTTTAGCTGGGACAAATGTTTCCAAAGGAAAGTACCACGGACAATTAAACCATACAACTGGAGGACCTAACTTAATCCTAGGAGGGAAGTAAGAATGATGACAATAATAATAATAATAATTATTATTATTATTATTTATGGCATTTGGGGGAACTTTGATTTCATAAATAAATGTAAACAGTGACACCCGGGTGGCTCAGTCCGTTAAGCGTCTAACTCTTCATTTTGGCTCAGGTCATGCTTTCATAGTTTGTGAATTTGAGCCCCACATCTGGCTCCGCACTGTCTTCCTTTCTCTCTACCTCTCCCCTGCTCGTGCTCAATCTCTCTCTCTCTCTCCCTGCCCCCCCCCCGATCAAAGTAAAGAAATAAACATTAAAAATAAGTAAATATATAAACTAACAAATAAATGTAAAGAATTCAGCACCGTGCCTACACATAAAAAGTCCTCAATGAATGTTAACTTTTATTATTGTTGTTGTTGCTGCTAAAAAAAAGTAACATAAACTTTTAACTGTCAGACCTATACGACCAGGTTTGCTCACGTGAACACTGGCCGCATTGCAAGCAGGTCCTGAGTCAACTCCTTTGTTTCTTGAGTCCTTGTCATATGCCAGATGTTCTCTCCCTTCCTACCACCTGGATTGCCTCTATCACTTCTTTCTTCATTTTAATAAAAGTAATGCATGGGCACACCTAAGAAGACAGCACTAAAATCTTGTGAAACACCGGTTTCTTCCCTAATCCATCTTGTCCTTCTTTCTGAAGGCAAACACTTTTGAATCTTTTAACTGTTTCTTCTGAAATTTACTCGTCTGACATCATCTACCAGGAGCTAATGCGGAGTCCACAGACTCAGGGCTCAGTCCCACAAGACTGGTCCCCTCCCCATTTGAGGCTCCAATCGCAAGTCCAGGTTGTCACCCATGCTTCTGACCTGATTGACTGTAAATCAGGGGCTCCCGCGATCTCTGCCTTGGGCTTGCTAATTTTCTGGAATGGCTCATAGAACCTAAGAAAGTACCTCATGTACTACTGACAATTTATTACAGAGGACATTTCAAAGAATACAAATGAACAGCCAGATGAAGAGACACATACGGCAAGGTCTGGGAGTATCCCAAGCATAGGAGTTTCTGTCCCATGGAGTTTGGGGTATGCCACCTTCCCATCATGTAGATACGGCCTTCTTGTTCACCAACCTGGATTCTCTCTGAACTCCATACTTTAGGGATTTTCATGGAGGCTTAATTTCATGGACATGATTGATTCAAGTTATTGACCATTGGTGCTTAATTTAGCCTCCAGCTCCTCTTCCCTCCGCAGATATAGGGGTGGGGATGGCGACGCTGAAAATTCCAACTCTCTAACCAGGTGGTTGGTTTCCTGGTCACCAGTTTCCATCCTGTGGTTATTTAAGGCTCTCCAAAAATCTCCTCATTAACATGAACTCAGTCATGGTTGAAAGAGGCTTGTTATTAGTAACAAAAGCCCCTCTTTTCACATTTCACCTCTCATCACAAGGAAATTCCAAGGATTTTAGATCTCTTCTTGCCAGGCACTAGAAAAAGACCAAATATATATTTCTTACTATATTTTCTTACACAGTACCACCCACCTCCTTTGTTGTTGGTGGTGTAAGTTCCTGGAAGATCACTCTGAGTGGGTGATAAAATATTTTCAACTTACAAGTCTCAAAATGCCTTTCCTTTCATATTTGTTGGAGGATTTCCCTAAGTATAAAATTCAAGGTCATTGTATTGCTACTGAGAATTCTTGAGTTATTTTGATTCCTGGTGCTTTGTATGTGTATCCCTCTTCCTACTGTTTCCCCAGAAACCTTATAGAATTTCCTCCCCTCCATGGTTTCCTCTTCTGGAACTCCTATTTTTGGAATCATGTGTTTTTTGGGTTTGTCCTCTAATATTTTTGTATCTTTTCTTTGTTTTCTTTCTCTCTTTCTTCCTTTCTTTCTTTCCTGCTCTTTCTTTCTTTCTTTCTTTCTTTCTTTCTTTCTTCTTTTTTCTTTCTCTCTTTTTTTCATTTACTCCTCTTGATCTTTCAAGCCTTACATTGAGTCATTTATTTTTGTTGACATGTTTTTATTTTTCAAGAACTATTTTTTTGCTTTATGAATTTTTTTCTGTTGATGTTGTTTTGTGGATCCAGTATTTTATCTCTCTGAGACTGGTAAGGAATTTTTTTTACTTTTTTTTCTTTCTTTGAAATGTTTATTCATTTATTTTGAGAGAGAGAGAGAGAGAGAGACAATAAGGGTGAGTGGGGGAGGCACAGAGAGATGGGGGAGAGAGAATCCCAAGCGGGTGCTGCACTGTCAGTGCAGAGTTTGAAAGGGGCTCAATCTCCAGAGCTGTGAGATCGCAACTTGAGTCAAAATCAAGATTCAGACACTTAACTGACTGAGCCACCCAGGTGCCCTACAGAAAATTTTTTCTTGAAGCTTCTTCTCTTTAAATAGTCTCTTTTTCCCTGAAGTTTCTTTTATCTACCTGTTCTGCTCTCTCTTTCATGTTAGAAGCTTTCCTCAGAAATATAGTAACCCTTTAACCTTACCAAAAACTAAGTGAAGGGCCGAGCATGAGTGATATTTGCCCACTTAAACTTCAAAGTAGGGTGATCTAACCAGGCATTTTGTTAGGGGAAACAGTAAGTAAGTATATTTGGAGTAAGTATATTTGGAGACTTCCTCTTGGGATGGGTCAGGTTTCTCAGTCTTTAAAATTCTTCTAATTCTCTTCCTGAATAATGTTATCTAATTTAGCAAATTGAAATACAGGGTGCCCTAGTAAATTCAAAGTTTGGATAAACAACAAATATTTAAAAAATATAAGATTGTCCCATTCAATATTTGAGACATACTTACATACTAAAAACCATTTTTGATACTATTAGTATATTTAAACTTCAAATTTAAATTGGGCTCCTGTCCTGTATTTATCTGGTAATTTTATTTCTGAAGGGTAAATTCATTGCTGACAGCATCTAGAGAACCAGGTGGGAGCAATGACCTTGCTGGATGCATCCATGGTGGAGGGGGATGATCTCAACAAAATTTCATTCATGTAATCCCCTTCAACCAGGTTTTTCAAAACCTCTACTAAAAATCATCTGCCTTACCCTCTCTGGGAATAAATGCCCCATCTTTTACTGGAATAGAAGAAGGAGAGTTGCCCATCCATGGTGGGGGACTCAGAATCTGAGGCATACTTAACAAATTCCTACCAATTTTCCTTACATTAGCCACCACAACTTTACCAGTTCCTGAGGTACCTGGTGCTCCCAGGGGTGGAATCTTCTGAGTATCCTGCCGTGTAGATAGGGTTGATTCGTGGTTCTCTTATTGCCAGATTAGGACTTGGCTTTCCTTAGGCTTGGGAAATCAGTCACTACTTTTGCATCGACCGTCCCAACTTCCAACATTAAGCCATGCTCTAGCCTCCTGTTTTCCTATCCTTATGGGTTCATGTCTTAAACAAACAAACCAAGTTTGGCTTAGGTAAGATATAGGGAATAAAACAGACGCATGTATTCATTGTTCCTTTATCTGAAAGCTATTTGTATCCCATCTTAACATACTTGCTCTAAAGCTCTTACTCTCTGACTTCAAAAGTAGAAACAGGGAGACCAGTTAAAGCTGCTGCTTTAGTCAGGCAGGAGGTAAGGTGGCTTGAAATAAGGTTTGGAAGATGCAGTACAGGTTCAATGAATATGGATCTTCCTTTTGGGGACTTTGCATCTGCATAGTGAGATGATCCCTATACTTAGATTTTACATTTACATTTACATGTACATTACATTTACATTATTATGTAGTAGAGTAGAATATAACTGTGTAGTATAGTGAGAACTATTTCAGTTCTTGCTCAGATATAAAGTGTGTGACTTTTCCCATTCACAGGGATTGCCTCTAGATCAACTCTAGGGTTCATTACAACTTTAAATTTCTTTTATTGCGGGAAATAGGCAAAAACGTAGAGATGAAACTAGATTTAACCTTTTGGGGAAAAAATGGAAGTCAATGATTAAAAGCATTGCCAGCTTGAGAACAATGAGGGTATAGTTGTTCATCGCTATAGACCAAGGGTCTGATTGTTTCTTCATGAGATTTAATCTGTTTGACCGTGAATGGCAGAAAGCATTAGGGTCTGAAGTCATTTATTTTTATTACTAGTTGAATTAGCTATCCATCAATGAATTGAATTAATCGAATGGAAAAAATAACATTATTTTATCAAACAAAAGAGCCTAGGCATTGCAGAGGCAATATTTGTAGGTCAGAAGGGTGCATCAGTTGGCTTTCTTAGGACTCACTGGTTTGCATTTACTTTCCTAGATTTGTACTCTGCTGAAGTGTAAAACACCAAACTTACGCACTTGTGGTGATGCGGTTGAATCTGCTTCCACCAGGTTTGAAATGTTTTCCCTCAGTGGCACTTTTGGAACCCGATATGTCTTCCCTGAGGTGTTGCTGAGTGACAGTCAGCTTGCACCTGGGGAATTTCAGGTAAGAATCTTTGCTGAATATTGACAATTCATTTCATGTAAGAGGGAGCACTTTTTGAGTATGAAACCGACTCAAGTGTTTACAAATATCACAAAAATCTCCATTTGGAAAGGATAAAATTGTTTTTAGGAATCAGGAGGCACACTGAGCAGGCTGAATTTTTTGTCTGGAAATTCTTACTATAGTAATTAGTGTCCTTGAGAATAATATATATATGTATATACATATATATATTATGTACATAATATATATGTATATATATTATGTATACATATATACATATATATATTATGGAGACTACTGGGAGGGGGATGGCTGTTTCGGATCCCCCTGAGTAGGAAGAAGACTCCAGAAGGGTTTTAGGACCAGTCTCACCAGAGGGAACCCCTTCACATCAAGAGCAGTGATAGCCTAGCAAAAATAAAGGGAGTTCCTTTCATTGTTGTGTAAAGACCTTCTGTGATCACAGGAGGAAAAAGAAGGAAGGAAAAGCTGAGGAGAGAGAATCTGATGGTAGCTGAAATTGTCAAGAAACAAAACACGTTTTTTTTTTTTTTTTTAAAGGCCGGAAGTAGTTCCTTACTGTATAAGCTCTGCCCAGCCACATTCTTCCCCTGGCTTTCCTGCAGGTTCTGCTCTTACTCTGTATTCCTTGTAGGAACAGCCACTGTGGGGCATTGGGTCAATGAACATGGTGGGGGGCTGTGGTGAGCGAGTGACAGGGTTGACAGAGGCTCGGCTCAACCCCCTCAGTCAGTCCCTTCTGTCCACTTGGAAGAGCCTATTTTGTCTGAGAGCATTCGATTTCCCAAACCCACTGCTTTATGCTTGCTTCCTCATGGAATGCTTCCTCAAATAAGTCAATTATAAGATATTGGTTGTAGCCATTTCAATAATAAATGAATCCATGCTAATTCCACACCTCCAATTTTTCCCGTGATCTGCACCATTTCAAAATTTCTGACAGAAGGTAGCCATTATTATTTTTACTGTTTCTTCATCCAGTTGCCCTGAATTTTAAAAGCGTGTGGTGGGGTTGTAGAACTTGCAGGGAGACCCGGTTAACTTCTCTGTGCTTTAATTAGGTGTCAAGTGATGGACGCTTGTTTAGCGTGAAGCCGCCATCGGGACCTGTCTTGACCGTAACTCTGTTTGGGAGGTTGTACGAGAAGGACTGGATATTAAAGGCTTCATCAGACCTCAGGGCACAAGCACCGGGAGTAATGCTCGTAGTTATAGCACTGACTGTGTGCTCATTCAGTTGGTAAAATAGTTCTATTTCCCTTTTTATTTTGCATGATTTAAAAAATGATGGGTGACAACAGAAGCATGGATCTGGGCTTTTGATAAGAGTGGTCATGGTCTTTTGTACAAGTGAATACAATTATTTATACGTATGTATTTCTCTGTTTTTAGACGCACACACACACACACACACACACACACACACACACACACCAGATAATAGAAGCCAGATACACAGTGACATAATTTTGAAAGGTAAAATCCATAAAATGAGAATAACAATTATACCCACATTTTAGGGATTTTTGGTGGGGAAAAAAAAATACACTTCTAGTCCTTAGACCAGTTACTGGATCATGGAAAGGACTGCACGTGTGCTAACTATCACAACTGTGAATGGCTGTCACAGGAAAACCATGCACGATATATTGACTGCTAAAATTACATCACTCTAATTGTCTAAAGTGCAAACATTTTCCAATGGTTCAGTCACCCTGCATATTTCAGTTAGAAAATCAGTGAATTCGGGGTGCCTGGGTGGCTTAGTCGGTTAAACATCTGACTTGAGCTCAGGTCATGATCTCAAAGTCCATGAGTTTAAGCCCTGTTATTGCGCTCTGTGCTGACAGCTCAGAGCCCGGAGCCTGCTTCAGATTCTGTGGCTCCCTCTCTCTCTCTGCCCCTTCCCCACTCATGCTCTGTCTCTCAGAGCGTGTCTCTCAATGAATTCAACATCAGCTAATTGGCTTTGGCTTGGTACCTAGCAATGAGGTATTCTAGAAGGCAGCTGGGCTTCCACCTAGGAACTTGTTAGAAGGCCTTCATGTTTTTTGTGGTTTTTAGCGTCTCTTTAGTGTTTTGTCTACCTTGTCAGCCTATAAGTATAGTAATAAGGAGGCTCTAAGACATTTACCAAATCTGGCCTGTAATCTATTTTCGCATAGGCTGTTAGCTAAGAAAGGGTTTTATGTTTCTAAATGGTTGAAAAAGAGGAAGAAACCCAAGAAGAAGAATATTTTGTGATACATGAAAACGATCTAAAGTTCAAATTTTAGTCTTAATACCTAAAGTTTTATTGAACACAGCCACATTTGTTTAAGTATTGCTGATGACTGGTTTTTTTTTTTAATAAAAAAAAATTTTTTTTTTAACGTTTATTTATTTTTGAGACAGAGAGACACACAGCATGGACGGGGGAGGGGCAGAGAGAGAGGGAGACACAGAATGAATCGGAAGCAGGCTCCAGGTTCTGAGCCGTCAGCCCAGAGCCTGACGCGGGGCTCAAACTCACAGACCGCGAGATGGTGACCTGAGCTAAAGTCGGACGCTTAACCGACTGAGCCACCCAGGCGCCCCTGCTGATGACTGTTTTTATGCTATGGTGACAAAGTTGACACAGAAAAGCTGTTATGGCCAGTTATGGCCAGTTATGGCCAGAAAAGCTGCAAATATTTACTGCTTGGCCCTTTCCACAAAAAAGTTTGTTAACTCCTGCTCTGAAGTATTAAATAACTACAGATGTTAGTATTAAAAGCCTTTAAAGCAATTCAGTGGGCATTTTGCCTGTGTCTTTCATAAAAAGAGAAATAGAATATCTTTATTTGCTTTGTATTATATACCATCACGCACACATGTGCAAAGATTACCTTGATTAACGTATGGCCAAATGTGCTAAGTAGATTAATACCCCAAATAAGATGATTTTTATAAACATGGTTGATATCCATTCACTGTAAGATACCACATCACAAAGCCTTTTGATGGATTTGGTATGTTCTCAAATTCCTGGGAGAAAGCACATTAGTTTTTATTTTCAAATTTTTCCTGGAGATCAACTAAGAACCATTCATATGAATACACTATCTGGTATTTTAACTTCGGCAAACTCACCAGCTTGCCTTAGAATGATTTTTCTTAAGATTAAACATTACAGGGGCGCCTGGGTGGCGCAGTCGGTTAAGTGTCCGACTTCAGCCAGGTCACGATCTTGCGGTCCGTGGGTTCGAGCCCCGCGTCGGGCTCTGGGCTGATGGCTCAGAGCCTGGAGCCTGTTTCCGATTCTGTGTCTCCCTCTCTCTCTGCCCCTCCCCCGTTCATGCTGTGTCTCTCTCTGTCCCAAAAATAATAAATAAACGTTGAAAAAAAAAAAGATTAAACATTACAGGCAATGAATTTACTTTTTTAAAAATGGTATTTACAACATCCATACCCAGATCTGATTACTTTTTCACTGTGCATTTCTTTAACACATGCATACGTATTTTACGATAGTTTTGATGTGCTTTTTAACTGTGATTTTTATTTCTTTTGCGTAAAACATTTGTAATACTCTTTTCATACAAACAACCCAATTCCAAAAAAGACCAATGCTCAAATATATGTTCCTTAATCTCTTTATACCTTGATCAATTTGAATGGTCCTGTCTATGGCCATACCACCCTGAACGCACCTGATCTCCTCTGAATGGTCCAGAGAGCAATTTTTGATACTTCCTCATTTAAAGATATCATTTGTTATCAACTTCATGATGATGATGTAACCACTTCCTCTCTCACTGTAGTAGCCTTTTTCCAAGCTGGTCCCCAGTGATTCCCACCCAGGCTCCATGGAGAAATTCTCCACGATTGTTTTGTTGCTATTGATTCTTATATTAATTTTTATATAGCTTCTGAGCCTTGTCACTTATAATAAATATGAATTCATTCTTACTTGTATTATAACACATATCTGTTATTCAGCTCTGCTTCAGTGTTCTATTGATTTTACTTATTTGGTCTTTTAGTTTTTTTATCGAAACAATCTATTTCAGGTCTCCTATAGGCTGAATTACGTCCCCCCTCAAATTCACGTATTGAAGTCTGAATTTCATACCTCAGAATGTGATTGCATTTGAAGATAAAGTCTTTTAAGAGGTAAAATGATGGCATTAGGGTGGGCCCTAATCCAATATGACTGGTATTCTTATAAGAAGAGAAGGTTAGGGGGTGCCTGGGTGGCGCAGTCGGTTAAGCGTCCGACTTCAGCCAGGTCACGATCTCGCGGTCCGTGAGTTCGAGCCCCGCGTCAGGCTCTGGGCTGATGGCTCGGAGCCTGGAGCCTGTTTCCGATTCTGTGTCTCCCTCTCTCTCTGCCCCTCCCCCGTTCATGCTCTGTCTCTCTCTGTCCCAAAAATAAATAAATAAAAAAAAAAAAAAGAAGAAGAGAAGGTTAGGACATAGACACTATGGAAACTATGTGAAACTATGTGAAGACACAAAGGAAGATGGCCATCTACAAGCCAAGGAGAAAGGCCCTCAGAAGAAATCAACCCTGTTGACAGTTTGATTTGGATTTCTGGCCTCCAGAATCTTGAGAAAATAAATTCCTGTGGTTTAAATTAATCCGTGGTACTTTATAATGGCAGCCCTAAAAAACCAGTACAAATTCTAATCCCCTCTCCTCTCCATTTCTACCATAAATTGAAGCTTAAACAGAATGGTTACCTAGTTAAGTAGATCCAGCTAGCTTGGTTCCATGAGACTCAACTAGATACTCTCAGAGAACCATTGCTGATGAACTGGTGCCGAAACCATCAGACCATCTGAATGTTGGGAAAGCAGAAAGTCGCACGGATGAAATCATGTACTTGATCTGTCCTTAAATATTCTTTTTTAGTAACAAAAGAATCTGTTGATACAACTTAGTGAAACAAAGGACATCGTTGAAGTCAAAAACATCTCTCAACCGGTAGACTATCCACATAGCCCGAGATCAGCCCCACACTATACGAAGCATGCCCTTCTGCAAAGGAGAGCATGATCCATACCAGTAATATATCATTTTGAAATAAACATTTTTGTGGTAGATACTTTTCAAAAAAAAATACTATCCCATCCAATAATATTTGAGTAAAATTCACCTTATACTTTTGGGTGATATTAACTACCTTTTAAAAAGGGCCCATTAGAAAATAACCCCCTATGTATTTAGGGACCACAATCATCATGGCAAGCCTCAATATTTCATACAATTTTAATTTAAAGAAGAAAATTGTTGTAACGGTGTTAAGTTTAAAATATTAAAGCCTTCGATAAACGCTAAGGGCTTCTTTGCTATTCTATTTTGGCAAATATATCACATATCCATTGTAGCACAGCAAATTACTGGCAACGTAACAGCTTAAAACTGCAAACATTTATTATCTGACACAGTTTCTAGGAGTCAGGATCTGGGAATGGCTTAAATGGGTTTTCTGGCTTAAAGTCTCTCTTAACGTTGTAATAAACCTGTCCCCAGGGTTACAATCATCTTAAGTTCCTCTGGGCCTGAAGACTCCACTGCTAAGATCACTCACATGGTTGTTGATGGTCCTCAGCTCCTTGCTGGAAGCTGGCTGTGGCCTTTTTCCTTATGCATGGGCTACCTGAAATTTTTCACAAAAAAGCAACTGGCATCTCCAAGAGTGAGTGATGAGATAGACAAATATACCTATCTATATCTGTATCTATATCTACATCTACATCTATATCTATATCTATATCTATATCTATATCTATATCTATATCATTGATATCTATATCATCTATATCTATCTATATCCATATCATGTGTATCTATATCATCTATATCTATATATAGAAGGGTGTGGATATTTCAGTCTTTTATAGCCTAATTTTGGAAGTGACATCACTTCTGCCATACGCTATTTGTCATACAGACCAACAGTGGTACAATGTGGGAGAGAATCACACAAAGGTAAGAATATCAAGAGACAAGGATCTTTGCAGATCAATTGGGATGCTGGCTGTTACGATAAGTATGTATTTATATTTATATGTATTTCTATATAATTTTAAAACATAGGACCGTTTCCTTTTCTTTTTGCTATATATGTAATATGTCTTTCAAAATATACTCCCAATATTTACATCTGAAAAGTATTGTGCCAAAGGACTTTCTACAATTATTTTCTATGCTAAAGATTAAATAATTTAATGATTTCTGCTCTTGGTAAAATTTAAATTGGTTGGATTAACTCATTTATGGTGACATCATCTTCTCCTGATACACACCTGTGACTTTTACATTCACTTCTTAGAAGTCTACTTTATAAAAGAATGCACACTAAAAAGTAACATAGAATAGGGTTGCCTGGGTGGCTCAGTCGGTTGGGCGTCCGACTTCGGCTCAGGTCATGATCACGTGGTTCATGAGTTCGAGCCCCGAATTGGGCTCTGTGCTGACAGCTCAGAGCCTGGAGCCTGCTTCGGATTCTGTGTCTCCCTCTCTCTGCTCCTCCCCCACTCTCTCTCTCTCTCAAAAATAAACAAAGCTTAAAAAAAAAAAGTAACATAGAATAAACAGCATAAGTTCCAGAATCATTAATTCATGAAATGACACTACTAGGAAAAAGGGTCTTAAGAACATCAACATATTAACTGTTTTTTTTTTCTTTTTGAATCAGCAAGGATTTTTTTCTACTAATCTATAAAAATATAAAACAAATGGAAAGTAACAATTGACGTGTTCTGAATATGGCAACAATCAACTAGAAAGTCATTATCATTGTCAGAAGCTGCTCTGAAATCTATCACTTGGCTCTTACTTCGAAAATTAACCTCGCATTCCCCACATTCTTCCAATTCTCTATTCTGGATGTCTTGAGTGTATTCCAAATGCATTACCTTAATTTTGCTTTTGTAATCACCGAGTCTTGGATGGGGAAAATACCTATATCCACGAGTAATACTGTAGCATGCTGCCATAATCAACAAGTTTAGTGTTTTAAGTACAGACACTACAAAACCAAATTTCTTTCACTCTGCTATACTTTTTCTTTATCGTGTGTATTAGTCAGGATAGGCTAGCTTGTGGCGTAGTAACAAAGAAAACCAAATATCTCCTGGCTAAATAAGATGAAAATTCATTTCTCACTCAAAGTCTACTCCAGGGCAGCTAACCTCTATGTCAAAGCTCAGAACCTCAGGCTTTTTCATTGTGTGTTGTTTCCTTATTACCAATGCTCCCATAATTTCTGGAGCATGACAGAAGAATATGGAGAAATTGCACACTGTCTTTTAAATGCTTTCATCTAGGAGCGAACGGGTGGCTCAGTTGGTTGGGCATCTGACCCCAGCTCAGGTCATGATCTCGTGTTTTGTGAGTTTGAGCCCCACATTGGGCTCTGTGCTGTCAGTGTGGAGCCCACTTCAGATCTTCTGTCCCCCCTACTCTGCCCTTCCCCTGCTATGTGTGCTCTTTCTCTCTCTCAAAAATGAATAAACATTAAAAAAAAATGCTTTCATCTAGTGATACTTGTCATTCCCATTTGTATTTTCTTGGCCAAAGCAAGTCCTATGGACTTGCCAAATTTAAATGCACAGAAAGCATAATTTCCCTGTGTGTCCAGGAAAGGGAAGGGATTCATAAATATTGGTTAGCACTAGTAATAGCTATCATTTAATGAAAGTCTTCAAAGGCATATATTTTACGTTCTTTTTCCACTTCCATTTATTTCCACCCAATAAATGTCTGCCATGAGTCACCAGCACTGCTATTTATCATTTATTTTCCAATGTATAGTGAGACTATAATCCTTGCCTCCTACCCCATACTTGGTTGACAGCCCCATGTGCCTGCCAATTGCAAGTCAAGATGACCACTTCCTTCAAACTTTACTTGCCCTTTCCATTAATCTGAAGGCAACTTCGCCTGTGTCTTCTTACCCAGAGTATGCAAAGACATCACTAATGTCTTACGTATAGTGTTTCATAGTTTACAAAACATTTTCAGATACATTTTCTATTATTTCACAAAGTGGGTACTTTTTTTTTTTTCTTCTTCCATTTTTTACCTTAGAGAGCAAAGTGTTGTTTTCTGCTCCTTACTTAGGTGTATCAGATATCAGATCCTCAAATGGGAATCTTTTAATTTTATGTCCAATGCTTTTTCTAGTATTACAGGTTACTAATGGTTTCTTACACACTAGACTGTGGCTTTCTGAAAGACTCAGTGTTAATCTTGTTGATTGAAATGCTAGATACTGATTATTTGCTTAGTGATTGTTTGCTTAGGATTATTATTATAGGATTATTATTATATTTTTAAGAATATTTTTAAAAATTTTTTAATGTTTACTTACTTTTGAGAGACAGAGAAAGAGAGAGAGAGAGTGAGCAGGAGAGGGACAAGGAGAGAGGGAGAGAGAGAATCCCAAGCAGGTTCCATGCTGTCAGCATAGAGCCTGATGTGGGCTCAAATTCACGAATTGTGAGATCATGACCTGAGTCAAAATCAAGAGTTGGAAGCTTAACCAACTAAGCCACCCAGGCACCCCTTTGCTTAGTGATTATTAAAGCCAGGTTTTAATTGCATCCTTACCTTTACAGGAAAGATATGCCACACTCTACATAGTCTCATAGCTTTAATAGCTCAGACTTTGACAGAATGCAGGATGAGAGCTAAGGTGAAAGTACACGATTAATATTAAAGCATATATATCTCCTGGAACAAATATTGAACTTAGTTGGTCATATTTGTTGACGTGGCATGGAGAATAAGAATTTGCCTTGAAAAATTAGGAGAAGATTATCAAAATGAAGAGTGGGAACTTTTCAGTCTTGAGAGGTAAGTTTAGAAGCATCAATGACTATGTGTTAACAGAAGAGTGAGCTCTTTTAATCTTTCTATTTTGAAATTAGTTGCATATGGTGGTCTAGCCACAGAAATATGGCAAGAGCTCTTATCAGTGTTAGCAGCCATTCAGCTATCAATACCTTCTAGAAACTTTGAACTCCTGCCAAGGCAAATAAGGCCCACCTGTCAGTATGGTGGTAGATTACCTAATAAAAAGTTAATGTTTGGGCAATGTGCTTTGTAGACATGTTGATTGGATAAACTTTGAAGTGAGTTGTGAAAATATTAGTAAAACAAAATACTCTTTTAACAGATTGCAGTGTTGACTTAACTGAAATTCATTGTGAACCAGCTGATTTTTTTCTTTCTGTCTATGATAAAATTTCATCTTGTTCTATCAAAGACAATTACTGAGGGTTTATTTGCTGTTGCAATATGAATAAAAATTGATTGAAAAGCCTGCCACTGTGTACCTAGTTATAGGAAAGTAGTTGTTCTAGAGGTAGATTATGAAAGCACTATGGCAAAAAAATAAAATAAAATCTAAACACTGAAATTATTCCTTAAGGACATATATAATTTAATTTTAACTGAAATAAAGATGTGAGCTTTATCTTCAGAGACTGTTGATAAAAATATATTACAATGATGTTAGTTATTAAGACAATTGCAAATACTAGTTTGAAAATGTTCTGATACTACTATTTAGTTTGTTATCACATCACCTTGCTTAGCTTGTAATTAATAAGAATCCCCAACCCACCGATCCATAGATGGATGTTAGCTGAAATTTTCTTTAAAAAAAATTTTTTTTTCCAACGTTTATTTATTTTTGGGACAGAGAGAGACAGAGCATGAACGGGGGAGGGGCAGAGAGAGAGGGAGACACAGAATCGGAAACAGGCTCCAGGCTCTGAGCCATCAGCCCAGAGCCCGACGCGGGGCTCGAACTCACGGACCGCGAGATCGTGACCTGGCTGAAGTCGGACGCTTAACCGACTGCGCCACCCAGGCGCCCCTGAAATTTTCATTAAGGTAGTAATTATCTCAGTTTTCCCTATCCAGCTATTTGGAGGGTATTGGGAATAAACCAGAGAGATTTCATGTAATGCCTTTTGCCCAGTGACTGGTCTAAGTTCAGTAAGTTTTTCCCCCTCCTTTTCTCTTCTCTTCCTCTTTCTCT